AGTATACCTGCTTGGGCTGAATGTAATGGAGCCAATACAAAAGAAAAATAGGTCTTTGTAGACCCAACATTTTACTGGTAGGAAGCAAGCTGAGGTTATTCAATTCAATTGCAAACACAAACTACAGTCATCCCTTGGTATTCAGGACCTCCCACGGAAACCAAAATCTATGGATGCTCAACTCCCATATATAAATGTTACAGTTTTTGCATAGAATCCATGCACATCTTCTTGTATAATTTAAATTATCTCTAGATTACATATAATACCTAATACAAAGTAAGTGCTATGTAAATAGTTGCCACATTAGGGAAGAAGAACCAGAAAAGTAAAGTCTGGCTCTTATTCAATACCAAAATGATGTTTCTTAAATGGTTTTAATCCACAGTTGGTTGAGTCCATGGATGTAGAACCCACAGATATGTGCTGGGTATACTTTTATGCAACTATCACTATTTAGTTTTAAATACAAACTACTTTTTAACTGAAACAGAAAGGATGACTTAGAAGGCAAAACAAAGAGCCCAGAGGGTGGGGCCAAATGCCAAAGAGAACGGTTCACAGGGACAGGCCATTTATCCATAATTAAGGAATTGGTAACATATGCCCAGTTGGGTTTCAGAATTGCTATGGGCTAGTGGCTAGTGACTACTATATCTTCCCATTTCCTCCATCCTTGAAAGGAAATGGCTTTTGTCATAACCATATTCCAGTCTTATTATTGTCTGCTGAAGAGAGAAAAGCGAGGTAAGATAGCTTGTATCTTTCGTTAACTGGTCTTCAGAGTGAGAGAAACTATGCCCAAAAAACCAAACCCAAGTTATCTCTTCTGTGCTTGAACCTAAATTAGATGTTGAGGCCTGGACTCAAGTCTGAGCCTGCTGTTGCATGGAATGAGACCCACTGACAAGTATATATTGTCTGTAGGATGAATATTAGTAGTCTGTGGGCAGAGAGCAGACTGTGTTAGTTTTAAAACTGGCCCACACATTCTTTGACACGCCTCCTATCAAGAGCTGGGGTCTAATGCCCTCTTCTGCTGAATGATCACTATCCTTAGTGACTCACTTACAACCAATAGAATGTCTTAGAAGTGATGCTCTGTGACTTCTGAAGATAAGTTTAAAAATTCCAGATAGTGCCTACCTAGTTCTTTTAGGACAAGCACCTTTGGAGCTCTGAACTACCATGTAAGACCAACCATCCTAAGGCCATGATGCTTTGAACAAGCTCAGGCCACATGAAGAGGCCACACGTGGATGTATGGCTGATGGCCTCAGCTCACATCCCAGAAGACTGACAGCACAATCACCAGACAAAGATGGATTCAAAAGATTCTGGCCCCTTGCTGTCAAATTATCCCCCAAATATCCTACTTCCCCAACTGAGGCCCCAGACATCACTGAGCACAGAGAAGTTGCCACCATTGTGCCCTTTCAAATTCCTAACCTACACAAGCTTTGAGTATAATAATATGGCTGCTTTATGCCACTAAGTTCTGGAGTAGTTTTCTATGACATGATAGAAACCAGAACAACCTTGTAAAGGAAGAATCCATACTTTCAGTTTTTAAACAAGAAAATCAGCATAAAAAGAAGTTAATTAACAAACCTCGCAGAGAAGCAAAGCAGAGGAATAATTCTGAAACAGATGAATCTGATTCTAAAATCAATGTTTATAATCATCATACCATACTATATTCCACAGAGATATCCCCACCCCTGTGTCTTTTCCTATTAACATTTCCCTGGCAAAGAATTATATAGACACATTATCTGCTTCTCTAAAACCAAACCATCGTTCAGGACCATACTGAATCCTATCCCCTCCGTGAAGCCCACCCCTAGACTCCAAGCCTTAACAATTTCTCCGTCTTTCAACTAGTCTTGAACTCATTTTCTACAACTTTCAATCAAAGCAATTTGTGAATACAGAATACTGATGTTCCTAAATCACAATTATTGAATTCATTGTTTTTCCTAAGCATAGTCATAAGCTACCCTCTGGATTTTCAACTCCAAATATCTATAGGATTGATCCAAACAGGAAATAAACATTAGTGAAATGGACTAGATGCAAAAGAACAAAAGTGGTCTGGATTAAGTTAAACTGGGAAGCAAACGCCCCACCAAAAGCTCTAGCACAGTGATTTTCTTACTAGCATATATTACTACCTGACATAGTAAATGTATTTTTTTGCTTATTGGCTCTCTCACCTCATTATAATAAGCTCCCTGGGAATGGGAATCTTTTCTGCTTTGTTTGCAGCTATATCATAACAGCCTAGAACAATACCTGGCTTGCAGTCAATAAATATCTGTTGAAGGAATACATGAATGAACAAATGTTACTGAATGGGAGTGTGACCTTAGTGTTACAAGAGCTATACATTTTTTAAGAGAAGCCAGAAATAAGTAAGTTTATGTGTGATCTTCCACTTTCTAAATGTTGACAACTAATATAAAAAAATGTTAAGCCATTTTGGGAATGGGTAAACAAAACATAGCTGCAGCCTTGGATTCAGTCTGAAGGCTTGAATTTGCAATCTCTGTACCAGAGGAATTTTAGATTTTAAAAAATCTTTCTAATTACTTAGAATAGTGTCTTGCAAAGTGTAGGTAGCTTGGTAAGCAAATAATAACAGTGATGAAAATGTCTCCAATATTGACACTTGGGGATCTGCTACTATTCAGCTGTGCATTATTAATATGCGACTTGAGTTCCTCTTTCATATAGCAAAGAAAATTGCTTCAGCTTCTGATCTGAAATGACCACCTGGACTTCATGTGACCATCCCACATCCAAGATTCTAAAGCTAAACTTCCACTCCTTCCAGCTGTTAAGTGTTGAGAAATGTCATTCTCATATGCTCCGAATAATAAAGGGGAAAGGCAGTGAAAAGAAAACAGATTAGATTTCTCAAAGGAGTGACAGAAAAAAAGGAGTCAAGTTTTAAACTATATTTCCACAGTTGATAAATAAAAGCTCCCAATGGCAATTTTGTTTTCTTTTTTACGGATTTTAGTATTTTTACGTTATGCAACATAAAATTTTATTTCAATTCACCTTTCATTGTTCTCTGGTAGCATGTTTTATTATTTCTATGTAAAAATTATTAAGCAGGAATTTTTAAATATTTATTAATTACTTAGAGATTCTTAACTCTAATAAAAAGTGACATCTAAATAACTGAAGTGTGTCTGGCTTTAAAACATGGGTCATTTAGCAACAAGCATCATTGTTTAGGGCTGAGAACACTTTTAAGATACTTTAAAGAAAATAAACTAGAAAAAAGAATTTCCAGTGTACTCTATGCCAGCTGAACTATAGCAAGTCAATTATCAACTTTTGAAGACGTAAAAGGAAATGAGATGTCTTTGTGTTCCATGTCTGTGTATGGTCCAATGAGTACAGCCTCGAAATGCCCATAGAAGATATCAACAAACATCAGAGGAATTCAACATATGAAATGATTCTAAGTCCAAAGAGTAATATGCCTACTAGCCTTCTAAGAAGTCTGCATTTAAAACATGATTTTAATGATTAGATAGATGAATTCATTACAGGTGGTTTTTCAATGATGGCATTGATTTTGTATGCTGTCAGATTTTATTTTTTAAACATATTCCACCATGATTTAAATTAAAAGTAACAGTGAGAAAAATTTCTTTAGCCAAAACTATTTTTCAAAATTTAGGTTATTTTAGATCTATGAACTTCCTACAAATTAAAAATACAGATTTCTATTCACCTATTTTGCTGTGTTCAAGCAACATGAAATACAAAGGTTACTGGATGAGGAAAATCACAATCTGAATTTTCTTATAGACGTACAAGTGAAATGGTGAAACACAGAGTTCATAGGGCACAGAGGAAAAAGCCCAAAATTTAGGATTAAACCAACCTCTAACAATTAAATGTTAGAGGTTTGAGCTCTAACATTTGCTCACATTTAGACCCTGGGCAAGTTATTTAATCTCCTTAAATTTTACTCAATTTACTCATTTGGAAAAAAAAAAGTGGAATCATAATACCTTGTCTTAATGTTAATATAAAAATTAAAATAAATGCATATATATCATGTAAGCCATTGAAATGTTAATTCGACACGTCACAGTCTACCCTAATGCAATACAATTGCATGTGAAAATTGCCTGAATACCATGGTGTCACAAATGATAGCCATCAAAGAGAATCTAATTGATTCTTATTATAAATTTAATACAGACAAGGCTCTCTCTATCTCACCCTTCCTAAGAAAATAAAATGAAATGAAAATAACTTGCAGGATATTATCTACAACAGAAAATCACTTACATGAAATTTTAAAGCATGGTATGTATTGTAAGAGTGTGTGTGTGTGCGCGTGCGTGTGTGTGTGTCTATACATAGATATGAAAGAATTGTAGGATAATATGCATGGAAATAGCAGACATTAAATTCAGGACAGTGTTGATCTCTAAGGGATCAAGGCCAATGCAACTTGATCAAGGGATGGTTACACAGAGAGCTTCACCTCCACCCTATGTTTTACTTTCTCAGCAATAAAATTAGACTGAAGATGGTAAAATGTTTAGTTCTATAGAACTGGCTAGTAGGTCTATGGCATTTACTTTGTTACTCACCACATTTTCTGTACATATTTAAAATATGTTACAATAAAAAGAAGTAGCTTTCCCAATCATACAAAGACAAACAGGCAATTTGCCAAAACCGACGACAGCAGTTGTTCCAGAGATGTACGATAGTGTGGGTAGAGATGAGGAGGAACAAGGATGATAGGGGAGGGAGGTGGAGGTGGTCAAGGTGCTTTATAGAAGAGAGGTTCCTCTCTGACACTTTGAAACCAGTAAAATATATAACCCCCCATAACAACTAAAGAAAGAATTCTACTATATAAGATGTAAAAAGGTTAGAAATGATTCATTGTTAGTCCAGAAATCAGGTTACTTTACAGAGTGTACATTACCCAAAAACATCATTAAGCTGAAAATACTTACTACAACCCCACTCTTGGTGGTAGTTTCTCTGTATGTGAAGTTGCAAATTGCCCAGGCTAAATAATATGTGGACATGAGAGGGGTCTGTGAAAAGTGATCCGTAACCCATCCATCTTCCTCAAACACAGAAGTTTCCACTGGCATATTAGATAAAGATAAATAGGTTGCTTGATGCTTGATGCTGATTTTGAAAGTAGCCTTGTAGATTGGCTCATCAAAACAAGGAAATGCCTTTCTGGCATGTGTAGGCGAAAACTGAGTAACACCAAGGAATCTGGAAAAAAAGAAAATGACATTCTCAGTTACATATGTGTTGTGCATTAACTTACGGCCACATTACATGCTTCTGTTGATAAAATAATATATTATTTCAAATTGCAATACTTTTCTGAACCAAACTTAAGTCCATGAATAGCATGAAAGCACAATCCGTATGTAATATACTTCCCCAACAATACAAGTTTTTCAGGGAGTTTTCTGTCTCAATTAAAATAAATTCTCTAAACCCAGAAAAGTGCTTGTTAGATGAAACATTACATACTATAGGAAAAATAGCTCACTGGCATCACACTGGCCTGAACTAGAAAGTGATGATTCTCCTTTTTGGTGTGCTTCACTTTCTTCCCTGAAGCTGTACAACATGTAAAGACAATGAAACCAAAATCCAAAAACTGTCCTCAGATATATGTAGAATATAGACCATCACTTAGGAAATATCTGTGCTGTAAAATTTCAGCAAGACACAGCCTGGTTTTGTTCAGAAAAAAGGATTTTAAGACTTGATAAATTCTGGTCTGAATTTTGGCTCCACAACTTTCTTAGCTATGCCATCTTGGCAATTATTAAACTTTCCTAAGATGTAGTTGGTCATTGCTAAAAAAATAAATATCAAGTCTAACTCCACAAGTATTGTACAGCTTAGAGGAAAAGAAAGGCTGCAAAGCACCTATGACTGTGAATAGCATGAGCAGCTGCTGATTCATATCTTCAACCTTCCTTGGAGCACAGGAACAAATGTTTGTACTGAATAGTCTGAAAAACATTGTTTTTTACTACTCATAATATATGTCATATTAATATATGTTACTATACCAGATGCATATTAATATAAATATATGAATATAATAAGTATGTCAATGTGAGTACACACACATATGCATATATACAGGTGTATATATATGTTATATATGTATACCTATATATGTATGTGTATGCATACACATATATGTTTCACTCAAGTTTTCAGATCAAGCTGTATCTTATTGAAATTCCTACAGAAAGCACCTTCTATATTCTTTCATGGTTATGGTTACAAATGAAGGCAAAGATTAAGTATTTTAAGACAGACACTCTTCAGACGGGTGTGGTGGCTCACGCTGTAATCCCAGCACTTTGGGAGGCCAAGGCAGGTGGATTATGAAGTCAAGAGATCAAAACCATCCTGGCCAACATGGTGAAGCGTCGTCTCTACTAAAAACACAAAATTAGCTGGGCATGGTGGCACGTGCCTGTAGTCCCAGTTACTCCAGAGGCTGAGGCAGGAGAATCGCTTGAACCTGGGAGGCGGAGGTTGCAGTGAGCCAAGATTGCGCCACTGCACTCCCGCCTGGGGACAGAGCGAAACTCCGTCTCAAAAAAAAAAAAAAAAGTTCACTTTTGAACTTTTTAAATAATACTAGTTATGAAACGATATAAGGCAAGTCAATATTAGACTGTTAAAAGAATATTATTGAGTTCTGAAGCAATTTCTTTAAAAGGCTTGTTCCGCCATAAGCAGTTCTGCTACCATTCCTCTCTCCATTATCCATGTTATACATGGTAAATCTAACACGGCAACTTTCCCACTGAACCCAAACTTGGCCTCAAAATTACTCTCAGCACAGCACTTCAGGCAGCTACTGCCAATCAATGCGGGTTGACATGCGGATTGAATCTTATTGGCTATCCCTAGCTTGAAGCACGAGGTACAAGTTTTACGCTATTTTTAAATCATAGCTTACACTGATCATTGAGGACCTAATTTCTTAAAGCTTAGTTTTAGAATAAAGAAAAATAAAACCTTTTAAAGATTACTTGTTATTCTCACAGACGAGATTTTTGAGAGTTTTCTTGGAAACAGCATCAGGCTGCTACACACCAGGCTTGGTTAAGTCACTTAACTGTCTGACCCTGTTTTTTCATTATTAGAAGGAAAATACAATGTTTTCTAGGCTTCCCTTACAAAAGTTAAAATAATAAAATGAGATAATATATGGAAAATAAATTTTAATTGTAAATCATACAAATATGAAGTTAAAGTTGGAAACAATATTAGAAACAAATTGTCCTACTGTCATAAATTTCTCAGTTGAAAAAGTGCATCCAATAGGATTAAGTGATTTGTCTGAAGTTATGCAGACAAATAGCACAAAGCTGGATCTAGAACTCACATTTTCTGAATTACATTTCAAAACAGTAAAATTAATTTTTAGCCATAATTTGTAAACAATGTCTTAATTCAGCTGTAGGTAACAAAGATTCTTCTTTCCCAATTTGCCAGTATCATGGTAATATTTTACTTACTCTTTTCTGCTGCTAGTAATACACTTTCTGCTTAATGAAATATCAGTACCTTTTAGTTAGAATGTACCTATTTATAATTTTGTCTTCCTATGTTTTTATCTTACATAATGCTCATGAATCTTATCTTTCAGCTTATTAATTAAAATGTCCATTGAGCTTAATATTTCTCAGTGAGGCCCATGAGATTTTATATATGAGCCAAAGTTATTCCCTTTTAACTTTGAAATATCTGAGAACTCCATTTCAATCAGTGAATGAATACTGTCTGCTATCTGAGAGCTTTATGCTATACAGGTTGAGTATCTCTTATCCGAAATGTTTTGGACCAAAAGTGGTTCAGAATTTGGATTTTTTTCAGCTATTAGAATATATGAATTACATACTACCAGCTGAGCATCTTTAACCCAAAAATCCTAATAAAAAATGTTCCAATAAGCATTTCCTTTGAGCATAATGTTGGTGCTCAAAAAGTTTTGGGTTTTGTAACACTTTAGATTTTGGATTTTTGGAGTGGGGATACTCACCTTGTATTAGGTACTCTGTATAATTTTTTAAGATATTACCAATTTTGTATTCAAGGCCTTTGTAGTCTAATTGAAAAATATATTTTCCATGAAATATATATATATGTATGTATAATATTTTTCATGGGAAATGAAAGGACAGCTAATAATACTATGGGAAGAGTTCTACAAGAATTCAACAGAGAGGTTGTAATTAGAATGAATTAACCTTTAAGTAAAAATCAAAGACGTCTTTGATATTAAGTAATTAGTGGGTAAGAAGTTATTAGGTGTAAAAGATGTAAATACCTCTGGGCTAAGGATAATTTGATAGAACAAATATTTATGCAGAGAAAAAACATAGTGCAGTCTCTTTTTGCCTTACCAAGTAAGTAAGTATGTTAGGGAAGGTAGCAATTTAAATCACCAATCCTCAGGGTTGAAAAGAACTATAAAGATCACCTAGTGACTTCTGTAATTAATATTCTTAATGAATTCATACACACAGTATATATCTATGCACAGAGGGCCACCATATATTCTGATAATGTCTAAATGAGGAAATACCAATTTCACAGTCTGGCACCTGAAGATGATTGCAATTGAATTTCAATTCAGTATTTAGAAAATCAAAAAAAGTCCCTTGGTAAAGAAGAGCAGTTGGACTAGATTACATTTAAGGTCTTTTCCAAGCTTGAGATCCTATAACTGAACAAAAATCAGAAATCAAATATTCCCCAAATGTGATAGGTTTTTAAAGATATTAAATTACACTACCACTAAATAGCTTTTTACTACAAGTCCTATAATGCATTTGCTTCTTTTAATCATTCATTTCTGAGTGTTCAATACTGGGGAGAAAAAGATAAATATATATGCTTCCCTCCTGCAAAGAGTTTCTATGCTAATAAAATAAATTAAACATATACCTGGACAGGTATTATACAAAAAGCCATGACAAAGAGGAAAAAATATATGAAGAAATTATATTCTCCTAAAGCAAAGTTACTCAATGTTGGCACTACAGATATTTTAGACTAGATAATTATTTGTTGTGGGGACTGTCCTGTGCCTTGAAGGATCTATAGCAGTATCCCTGGCCTCTACCACTAGATGCCAGTATCATCTCTCCCCAGTTGAGGCGGGCAAAAATGTCCCTGGACATTGCAGATGTCCACTGTAGGAAGAAATTGTCTCAGTTGAAAGCCACCAGCTTAAACAACTCAAAGAAGGTTTTATGAAAAAGAAAGCATAGGAATTGGTCTTAAAACCTGGGTAGAGGTTTAAAGGTCAGAGTTGGATGGGGAAATGAGTGAGTTGACTATAGGTAGCACAGAAATAAGCCTTCAATAAAGTTTTCACTCACATACTAAATTTGTGCCCTGTCTGCCGTCTTGCAGATTCTGGTTACATCAGATCTCAGTATTTCAAGTTCATCTGTAACATCTTTTTCACCCTTGATACTCTTCTTTCCAACAAAAAGAGCCAGTTTCAGGTCAGTGCCCTTAACAGGCAACAATGCCTGTAGAATTTCAAATATATAATTTTGTCTTGACTGCATATATTTTATGGTTGCCTTCAATTGGTGGAAGTGGGACTTCTATTCTTCTTACTGTCATTAAAAACATCAAAGAGCTCCATAGCAACAGTGATTCTGAGAATAAAATAATGAGTTTGAAGTAAATCTGTGGTGAGTTTGAGGTGGTAAGCAGGATACCAAGTACAAGAAATATAAAAAATTAATTAAAAATAGAAATAGTTCAATATATAGTGTAGACATGAAAATATATGTAAATACAGCAAAAAGTAAAACAAAACAGCAAAAGGCAGAAGGTAATGGGATAAGTATTTTGTTGTCTGTTATGCTCCTGCTTTTTTAAACAAAACCATTTTTATCTTTTAATGAATCTCTCTGTTACCATTAAAAAAAATCCACTTTCAAAAGTGACATTCTGGGAGTGTGATTCCTAGAATGTCATTTTAGCATAACTGGAAAAATGTGAATAACATACATGTATTTTAATTCTCGTCTATCTAAAATAAATTACTTTATTTTCTTAACAATTTGTCTATTTGACATTTTGGTTGAGCTAAGAAGGAAGGCTTAAAGCTCCGTGTTGCCTCTGAAGGATATAGAGAATTGATTTCTTCTTATAGCTGCGGAAGTTCACTAGGCAAGCTACTTGTGTCAAGTCATTATGATAACATT